CACAATCTGAAGTCTTCTTGAAATAAATGATGTTTCAGATTGACCTGGTATTCTGCGGCCTATAATCTTCCATACTTCTCGAGTCACATACTGGACTTCGCTGTCTGTGTGGACACAACTAGCCCTGACCACACTCAGTGGTCAGTGGTCAAGCTGTGGTACGCCAACGTTGTCTATGACAGCTACCAAAGTCTCATTGACAGTTACGATAGCGGACGGTAAGTATTGCCTTGTTGTCCACTTCAGAGGCTGCTACAGGAAGTCGTGTACAGGACATAGGAGACATACTGATACCATTTAAAAACGAATGCTGAAAGAAGATGACGTGACTTTAAATAATAAAAAAAAAAAAAACGTGTAAGATTGTGTAAACGTCGAATAAGTATGGGTCAGATAAGGAGGGGCGTATGGGAGAAAGTGAACGACGAGTTTAATATGAATGTTATACGAAAACAGTTAAAATTTGCATTGACTACAGTCATCCTAGAGATAAGCCTGACGTCTTCCCTCGAAGTCGGAGTACATCTGCCTGAGGGGCAGGGAAAGGCAAAAACCAATAAAACGGTTGTACACGCAAAACTCAAGTCCAGTTAAAAAACAAAAGCCCAAGCAGAGGATAAACCGGGACCTTCCGCCGGAATTCTTATCCGGTGAACGAAGACGAAGAAGAAAAAGTTAACATCTAACACAACTTAAGACATTTGCTGGGGTAGCCGGACTATTTCAGACATTCCCTTTAAACGCACATTCGTTTTTTTTTAAAATACATTTCATATTATTTCGAATATATTATTATACATATTGCCATCTAATTGAAGTTGTCTGCTAGTATCTTATTCTTCTATAGCAATCCAAGCCCTTAAGGTTCATTGGTGGAGATATCATCCGCCTCCATTCATCTTTCAGGCCTTTTTTTTTCATTTGGTGAAATCAAGTGTTTGTAGGTCTGTATGGATATTATCTCTCCTTCGACTTACTGGTCTGCCTTGTGGTCCATACAGCTCCCTTGTGCATACAGTGTTTACCCCCTCTGTCATCTGATATTATTTCAATATACCTCAGCAATTTCAGTATTATAGCCCTCATGTTGCCAGTTATCAATGGTGATTTCAACAGATTATGAATTTCGTTGTTGTTTCACATTCTCCATGTTTCGCTGTTTGCATCTTTATTGGTCCTAAGACTCGTGCTAGCACTTTGCAAAAATGTATAATACAGCTGTATCTCTTTCAGTTGTACTTTAATGTATTATACAGCTGTTTCTCTTTTAGTTGAACTCTAAGTGGTAGAGCCATAAAATGAAAAATAAAAAAAAGCTAGTCTTAGCATTTGTTACTAGACAGAGCAGAGACTTGATTCTTCCAGATGTTGTAGGACAAAGTATATGTGCGCTCAGAAACCTATATAAATTCTAGTTTGTCAGTAATTGCATCATTGTAACCATCTATCCAGCTGCCTAATAATTCACTCACCCATCAGTCTCTTAAACCTTTATCTATCCATGCTTGGATTTACCCATCGATTAGTCTATTGAAACATTCATTTATCCATGCTTAGATTCACCCATCCATCAGTCTATCGAACGATTTATTTATCCATGCTTAGATTCACCCATCTATCTGTCTTTGGAACCATTCATTTATCCATACTTGGGTTCACCCATTTATCTGTTCATCTATTCATTCGACCAGAATTAACAAAACAAAAGTCACCCGGCCAGTAGACGATGAAAACTTGTTTTCGAGCCTAAAACGTCGAGGCGAATTCCAGCCGCCCAAACCACAGCGGCCACCAACAGTTGTGGAACCTGATGGCAAAAGATACTCGGTCAAGGATAGAAAGGTATTCAACTCTCTCTCTCTCTCTCTCTCTCTCTCTCTCTCTCTCTCTCTCTCTCTCTCTCTCTCTCTCTCTCTCTCTCTCTCTCTCTCACTCATAGGTGGGCTGCGTGCTCTTAAGGCATGGTGTCCGCCTCGAGTGCTAGAGGTTCCGAGTTCAACCCCCGGTAAGGGCTCGGATTTTTTCACGTGGACTTGGACTTCTAGTAATTCCCCCTGATCTCTGGGTAGTGAGATCAAACGCCCGTGTGCATTGCTGCGCGTGTGGAAAATCCCTTGGCGATTAGATATCGAAAAGAGTATACTAACGGCGTTGCTCGGGCAAAATTTGGAGTTAAAGATCTGTCCGAAGTATTTCGGGATCCTCGCCGGTGCTACAAAGCCTGTGCACTGTGCGGAGCTTCTTCGGACTCAGACCTAAATTAGAGGAAGAACGGAGCACTTATGGGTTACTACCCGTGTGCCTTGATGTCGATCCGTCCAAACCTCAAATCTCTCTATCACAGATGTGTGTGAGTGTGTGTGTGTGTGTGTGTGTGTGTGTGTGTGTGTGGGTTGGCATCTTGTTGTCTTTCCCAATGACATTGCTACATTATGCTATAGAGAGGCATGGAATTCACAGTCCATGGCGATGGCGAGTATGACTTGCAAGACCCATCAGTGTTAAAAAAAGTCTCATACAGTTATAGCATAGGATTTCAGAACAGTTGGTGCCATATCACATGTAATTAGTGTGGAACTCTCCCCCCCTCCCCCCATCCCCCAGACGCCCAGTTCTGAACCTTTCTGCAATATTGTTTTCCCTTTTTCCTATTACTTTTTTGTTTTTCCTTCTTCGCTGAACACGGTCGGTGGTATTATATATATATATATATATATATATATATATATATATATATATATATATATATATAGCATAATTAAAAATGGTTGCTACACATTTAAAAAAAGCCATAATATGCAAACATATCACATGATCACGGTGGCCAACTTTATTTTGTACAGCTAATTATAGAAATTTCAGGAGAGGTTTTCAAATTCCCCAGGTTTCAGTGAATTTGTTCAATGTTAGTGCAATAAAATCTTGGGCCCGTGGTTGGTGATGAATACAATAAGGTCAATATGAGCACTTTTTTAACGACCGACCATATGTATATTATTGGCAAAGAGTTTTAGACCACATTGTAACTGATTGATTTTTCCATAGTGACGGAGTTTTATATCCACTGCTATTTTAAAGACACACTGAAGGCAATCCTTGCAGTCATCCTGCTGCCCTAAACCTACAGTTGATGCTATACCACACACTAGTGAGGAAATATCAGTTACTGACCAGTTGTTTGTCTTACAGTGTTGACCACTACCGTATAAATGCAGTAAATATAAATGTTCAAATAAGGAATACAGCCTTCACATAATAACCTAAGGCTAGACTTTTTATTGATAGATTTGATTCTAGTAATTGCTGACAGGAAGAATGTGGAGATACCCCAGGTCTCTCTGATTTCTAAGGTAGTGGGGTAGAAGATCGAGTCTTCTGGGATATTAGCGAAACAACGGGAGGAAACATCTGCAGCTATTCATATTACAAATACCACGACAGGTGGATATCGCCAAGTTTAGGCCAAAAGGATGTTGTTCTCTCTTATTTGATAGAAAATAAAGTCTATGCCGGGGTATATACAGCCTACTGAACTTTGATTGTACCTGCTTGAGAGGGCTGATCTGGGACTTATACCTGCTAAATACTGACTCCTCACCTTTTAACAGAGGGGTGTAGATGAAGAAGAAGAAGGAGGAGGAGAAGAAGAAGAAGAAGAAGAAGAAGAAGAAGAAGAAGAAGAAGAAGAAGAAGAAGAAGAAGAAGAAGAAGAAGAAGAAGAAGAAGAAGAAGAAGAAGAAGAAGAAGAAAAAAAAGAAGAAAAAAAGAAGGAGAAGAAAAAGAAGAAGAAGCAGCAGCAGCAGAAGAAGAAGAAGAAGAAGAAGAACAAACGAACGAACGGACGAACTTTATTTTCAAAGGGTCACAAATTGGGCACGCAGGCCGGTCTTACATTCGGCCCTTCCAGTCAACCATCTTTCACACAGCAATTGTATTTTACTAAAAAAGCATGTTATGATCATATGATGATATGCATATTATAAATATTATAAAAGAACACAAAAGCATGAGTTGCAAAGTGCATGCAAAAACCCGCGCGTGCATACATACACCCACATACACACGCTCACCCACTCACTTACACACACATACATGCATACATACATACACACATACATACAAACAAACATGCATACACACATACCCACAGGCATACATACACACAAACATACATACAAAGATACAAACTTACAGGCACACAGAAGAAGAAGAAGAAGAAGAAGAAGAAGAAGAAGAAGAAGAAGAAGAAGAAGAAGAAGAAGAAGAAGAAGAAGAAGAAGAAGAAAAAGAATAAGAAGAAAAGAAGAAGAAGAAGAAGAAGAAGAAGAAACAGAAGAAGAAGAAGAAGAAGAAGAAGATAAAATTATAGTAATAGTAATGGTGATGTTGGTGGTGATCTTGATGATAGTGGTGGTGGTAGACTACTTGTAAAAGAAGAATGATAGTAACAATGATGATGATAATAATAATCATAAGAAGAGGAAGAGTCTGTCAGTTTATTAGGAAACGTACGAAAGAATAGATGCGGTACAGAAACTCTCATCAAGAAACTGATTTTAGGTTAATTATTTGGACTGGAGCTTCAACTTCCGGCTCTCAGCCCTGACTGGCCCAGCTGTCTATGACGTCAGATTCAAGGGCCAGAGAATTGCCTACGAACTGGGCTTGAGCGAGATCGCAGTGTTTTATTCTGGCCACGCAGCTTCTGGGGTAAGTCGTTATCGCCTCGCCTGTTGGCAGGGATAAATAGTTACAGTGATAAAGTCAAATGGAAGGAGAATGACTAGCAAAATGAGGATAAGATTAATTCTAGAATAATGCATATTAAAATAATATAAAACTATCAATTCATCAGTTAGAGACACTGTTTTGCGAGGCCATACAATACATGGCATACATCAAAAGAGGAGAAGTATGTGCAGTATAAGACAACGAAAGAACAAGATGGAAAAGAATACATCAAAGTAATAATAACAAGAACTCCACAGGGAAGCATTCACAGCGGGGGTCCACCGATTTTCAGTAAACAGGTAACTCTTTGACGATTGTTTCAGCCCATTACTTCATAGACAAGAAAGGTTGGTGGGCCAATCTGGTTCATGACGTCAGGCCTCAGACATCCCTTGCTGCACTTTATCGGACGTTCAGACAGGGACAATACTAAATGGTGACTTGTGAGATTTGGTCTTATATATTGTCGCCGGGGTAGCGAATAAGCCGACTACCTTCACGACCAGAGCGACAAGCTTACTTCTTCAAATGGCAGAGAGACACTGGAAGACACTTATCAAGCACTCTGGCTTGTAAGGATGTAAAGCTATTTTCCATTAGGCACTCTAAACAGTCTACTGGGGCCCATCCCCCGCGACGTTCCGTTGTATCCACAGACAGCACGAAGCTCTTTTCGCAGCTTCGCCCAGTTGTTTTAGCGCCCGTTTACGCTCTTGTCCTCACAAGCACAGATGCTTTAGTTCCATTTGCGCCAACCTCGCCGGCGAAGATTTTAACTGTGTACGCCTCATCTCTCCTCAGACAAGCCACCATATCACCATACTTGTCCAGCTTATACAGGTGATTTTCTTTCATTAGCGACTCATACGGAACGGTCAGCTCTATCGGGAAGAGCTGGCGTTTTTCCGCAGAGTGCAGAACCATGTCTGGTCTCAGGCCGGTCTTTCGGATTGATTCTGGGTACTTTTAGAAACCGCCAAGTCGACCGTCAGTAACCAGTTCCTCGTACAGTCAAGTACTGATGGAGTGTATGGGAATTTGTTGAGTTTACCGTTTAGCAATCTGCCCAGCCTTGATAAAGGGCAACGGAGAATAGAAAAAGGGCGGGCTTTATTGGTGGGGGGGGGGGGGGGGGGGGGGGGGGGGGGGGGGGGGGTGGGGGGGGGGGGGGGGGGGGGGGGGGGGGGGGGGGGGGCGGGGGGGGGGGGGGGGGGGGGGGGGCGGTAGGACGGTAGAATAATTCTGCAACAGTATGACTTGTTTATGTCGAGGCAGCAAAGAGACATATAGTATCTCGACACTAGACACGGTAAAAAGGGAAGGGAATCGGAAGAATAAATCTAAAATGCAATATGTTATACATTGTTTATTACAATGTTAAACACAGTATTTAATACAATGTAGTATAATCACCAAACTGTAATGTACTGACTATCACTCATAGATGCAGAGGAAAGAGGCAGAGACAGGGGGACATACTAGACAACATAATCGACAGTTTCAGCTGTCACATGGGACATGGAAACTGTCGTCTTGAAACGTTTCTTTAGCTAATTGTAGTACAGAAAGTAGCTTTTATCCCCAGAACTCTTGCGCTGTGCTGATGAAACCGTCTTGACAGCGACACGACAGAAAGAGCTACGGTACTGGTAGAATGCAATCAAATGAGCCTCAGTTTGAATAATAGGAAGACGGAAGTAATAGTCACCCCCTCCTCCCCCCCCCAAAAAAAATAAATAAATAAAGAAGACAAGTCAAAGGCGTTATATTTAGGACAAGTACAGAAATGTAAGCATCTACGCACATTGGTAACATCCGATGGAAGATGCATCACACATATAAAAAATAGAACAGCACAGGCCCAACTGCATTTGATAAAAGAATAAGAACATTTTATGCAATAAATCCTGATTATTGCATGCTAGGTCAAGAATTATATAATATGCAATATAAAGCTGGTTTTAACATACGGCTATGAATCCTGGACTATTAATAAACCAACCGAACAATATCATGACGCCTCCGAGACATGGCTTCACAAAAGAATCCCTAAAATTCTTTGGACAGCAAAAGAGGGCAACCCAGATGTTTTAAAAGAGGTGAGTGTTCGAAAACAACTTATCACAAACACCAGAAAGAGACAGTCATAATTTTGGGTCATGTTTTGAGAACAATGAAACTGGAAAATATTGTGAATACTGGAAAACAGCGCGAGAAGATACTTTGCAACATTTGGGCATGGCACGGAAGGGTGTTAGCACACGAACTGATACACGCAGTTTCAGATCGCGGATTATGGAGAGACATGATCGCCCAGACCAGTCGGCAAGGCACCGGATTTTGATGATTATGGTATGATCATGCATAAGACAGGGTGAAAGGCCAAAGATGGAGTCCGCCCTGTTACACCAGAGCAGATATCATCAACGCTGTACGGACTAGGTCGGTGGGTAATGACGAATCCCTGACACTAACACCATCGCGAGACTGGGGAGTAAAACACGGCGAAACATGCCAATGTACTCTTCGAGATAGGGTGCTTTATTAATATCTTACCTCCCAAATGACGTCACAGGACAGTCCAACATTTTAGAGCGTTGTTAAGACTGGTTTCCCGGCTCTCTGAAGCATTTAACGACCCCAAAACATCTAGAACTGGCCCTAACCCCAACTCACATAAGTCCCAGGAAAGAGTGCAGCCTAGGTCCCACGACTGCATGCAACCTAGGTCCCACGACTGCATGCAACCTAGGTCCCACGACCACATTAGCCTATCTACCAAGCCCTGAAATATTGGACTGTCCTGCGACCTGCGTATTTCCCTTTTTTGGGGTAAGATATCGATAAAGCACCAGAGATGGGAATGGGATCTTTATGGGAACAATCAATAGAGGTACCCTAGAGTGGCTGTTGCACCGGAGGACGGAGCTGGCATGGGAATGCCTAGTGTTCTGTGACGTTGATTGTGATGACACAACAAAAAATAACCAGATAAGAGAGGCGATGATGGCGACCCATTTCACGACATGATCGTGTCTAGTTGTCTAGTTTCGTTAAGTGCTCCTTTAACAGCGAGAATGTTGAATGTTTGTGTGACTCATTATGTAGTAAAGTCTAGGATCACATAGAGACTGGCGCCGTGTTTCAGCAAACGACCAACTATGTGGACAGTGGCGAGTATTTGGGCATCAACTCTAGAGCACTGGTTCCTGGAGGTGACTGTCCGGAGACAGCAACTTTGATTAATTCAGTAAGTATCTGAAGATTACCTTCTGTAGTGACTAAAGTATAAACAATATGGGGTTTCTAATGTCGTATAAAAAAAACAACAACAGGCTGACAGATCGACAGTTGTTACTCCTCTAGGCGGTGAGCTACTTTATGGTAAAGTGGACTAGGCTAGAACTCCCTGGCATCAGATGGACAGTGCAATAGAACAGACAGAATTCTTACATTGAACGACAAATTAAAGGGGGTTTAAGGAAGTTCTGAGGGACGGCAAACGGGCGGATTCCTAATCAATTTGAAACTGGTATTGTTAGAATGACGACTCTTTGGTGAGTACTGAAAAAGGGAGACGGAGCACGTGTGGAAATGTCCCTAGTGCAGTGATGTCAATGCATTACCTTATTCACTGGTGTCTCTTCTATTACACATGCGTTTACATGATGGAATTTAATGGGTGGTTCTCTAGACACAGAGAAACGGGAGGCTCTCTAGACACAGAGGTACGGGTGGCTCTCTAGACACAGAGGTACGGGAGGCTCTCTAGACATAGAGGTACGGGTGGCTCTCTAGACATAGAGGTACGGGTGGCTCTCTAGACATAGAGGTACGGGTGGTTCTCTAGACATAGAGGTACGGGTGGTTCTCTAGACATAGAGGTACGGGTGGCTCTCTAGACATAGAGGTACGTGAGGTTCTCTAGACATAGAGGTACGGGTGGCTCTCTAGACATAGAGGTACGGGTGGCTCTCTAGACATAGAGGTACGGGTGGCTCTCTAGACACAGAGGTACGGGTGGCTCTCTAGACATAGAGGTACGGGAGGTTCTCTAGACATAGAGGTACGGGTGGCCCTCTAGACACAGAGGTACGGGAGGTTCTCTAGACACAGAGGTACGGGTGGCTCTCTAGACATAGAGGTACGGGTGGCCCTCTAGGCATAGATTTACGGGTGGCTCTCTAGACACAGATGTACGGGAGGCTCTCTAGACATAGAGGTACGGGTGGCTCTCTAGACACAGAGGTACAGGTGGTTCTCTAGACACAGAGGTACGGGTGGTTCTCTAGAAACGGAGGTACGGGTGGTTCTCTAGACACAGAGGTACGGGAGGTTCTCTAGACACAGAGGTACGGGTGGTTCTCTAGACACAGAGGTACGGGTGGTTCTCTAGACAAAGAGGTACGGGTGGTTCTCTAGACATAGAGGTACGCGAGGCTCTCTAGACACAGAGGTACGGGAGGTTCTCTAGACACAGAGGTACGGGAGGTTCTCTAGACACAGAGGTACGGGAGGTTCTCTAGACACAGAGGTACGGGTGGCTCTCTAGATACAGAGGTACGGGTGGCTCTCTAGACACAGAGGTACGGGAGGCTCTCTAGACATAGAGGTACGGGAGGCTCTCTAGACACAGAGGTACCGGAGGCTCTCTAGACATAGAGGTACGGGTGGCTCTCTAGACACAGAGGTACGGGTGGCTCTCTAGACATAGAGGTACGGGAGGCTCTCTAGACACAGAGGTACGGGTGGCTCTCTAGACACAGAGGTACGGGAGGCTCTCTAGACATAGAGGTACGGGTGGCTCTCTAGACACAGAGGTACGGGAGGCTCTCTAGACATAGAGGTACGGAAGGCTCTCTAGACATAGAGGTACGGGAGGTTCTCTAGACACAGAGGTACGGGTTGTTCTCTAGACACAGAGGTACGGGTGGTTCTCTAGACACAGAGAAACGAGTGGTTCTCTAGATACAGAGGTACGGGTGGCTCTCTAGACATAGAGGTACGGGATGTTCTCTAGACACAGAGGTACAGGTGGTTCTCTAGACACAGAGGTACGGGTGGTTCTCTAGAAACGGAGGTACGGGTGGTTCTCTAGACACAGAGGTACGGGTGGTTCTCTAGACACAGAGGTACGGGTGGTTCTCTAGACAAAGAGGTACGGGTGGTTCTCTAGACATAGAGGTACGCGAGGCTCTCTAGACACAGAAGTACGGGTGGTTCTCTAGACACAGAGGTACGGGTGGTTCTCTAGACACAGAAGTATGGGAGGTTCTCTAGACACAGAAGTAAGGGAGGTTCTCTAGACACAGAGGTACGGGTAGACTCAAAAGATGCGAAAAGGGTTTTTCTAATACTACACGGAAGAAGGGGAGGTGGAGGGGGGTCACTGTGGCGTAGCGGCTAGGCACTCTAGGCACCCACGGCTAGGTCGTGGGTTCAGTCACCTCCAAAGCTGGACTTTTTTCATATATGACCTTGGCTTCCAGGTCGACTGAGCCTTGAGTGGGTACCAGGTACAGTGCTGGCAAGTGAAGACGGTCGGTGTGTTGCTGATCACATTACCCATTTCGTGCCTTGGTCTATAAAATAGCACCATATAACAAATGCCTGAAAGGCGTGGAAAAGGTCTGTTTAGTTTAGTATAATTTAGGGGTGATGTCTTACTACAGGGGCGTCATCTACAGGGGTATGAGTACTCTAAGCACAGGGGATTGAGTTTTTCTAATAAAACAGTGGTGGAAGAGGGTGGGGGGGGGTGTGAGGGGGTGTGAGGGGTCTTCTACAGATGAAGGGGGTAGAAATGATTACAGGGGATGATCTCCAAGGAGTTGATTGGTCGTGTAGGTTAGTGCGGGATGTTCGTTGAGTGGATAAGATTTGTGGGTACAGAAACTATTGAAGTGGGAGGTATTTCGTATGTGGGTTATGTAGGCTGATTACCTTTTTAGTTTTGCTACTATAGTAGTAATAGTAGTGGTAGCAGCAACAACAACATCCGCAGCAAAACAAGCAATATGCAAGAAGAAGAGGAAGGAGCAGGAGGAGAAAGAAGAAGAAGAAGAAGAAGAAGAAGAAGAAGAAGAAGAAGAAGAAGAAGAAGAAGAAGAAGAAGAAGAAGAAGAAGAAGAAGAAGAAGAAGAAGAAGAAGAAGAAGAAGAAGAAGAAGAAGAAGAAGAAGAAGAAGAAGAAGAAGAAGCAGAAGAAAAAGGAGGACGAGAAGGAGGAGGAGGTGTAAAAAAAAGAAGAATGAGAAACGGAAAGTGCAGAATGGAAGAATAATTAGAACAAAAATGACATGTAAGCTGTAACGACGTGATCCATTGCCCACAGGCGTTCATGTCGATCAAGAAGCGGGAGCCAGAAGTCTACAAGGCTGCACAGTGTCTGTTTGAACACAACAATGGCTACCCACTGAGGCGACATCTAGCATACCAGTTTGAAGAAGGATCATTCTATGGTGGAATGTTAGACTATGTGCTGACACTCAGGTATGTCTACTCAAACTCAGGTATGTCTACTCACACTCAGGTATGTCTACTCACACTCAGGTATCTCTACTTACACATAGGTATGTCTACCCACACTCAGGTATGTCTACTCACACTCAGGTATATATACAATATTCATGCATATCTACTCACACTCAGGTATGTCTACCCACACTCAAGAATGTCTACTCTCATTCAGGTATATCTACTCACTTTCAGATATGTCTACCCACACCCAGGTAAGTATACAGACACTCAGGTATGTCTTCTCACATTCAGATATGTCTACCCACACTCAGGTATGTATACCCACACTCAGATATGTCTACCCACACTCAGGTATGTCTACCCACCCTCAGGTATGTCTACTAACATTCAGGAATGTCTACCAGGTAACCTGGTAATCTGGTAATCCAAGTTTCAGCTTCATAGCAAACGGGTCACCCCACAGATGCTCCGCTCCTGTGCCAACGAAAAACAAACGCAGCTCACAGTGTCACGCCATGCACTTAACCCAGAAGCTGGGCGACGAAACTACATCCTTCCAGTCTACCTACACTTAGGTATATCTACTCACATTCAGGTATATCTACTTACATTCATGTACATCTTTTCACATCCAGGTTATCTACCCACATTCAGGTATGTCTACTCACCCTATTGTTTATCTACTTACACACAGGTATATCTACTCACATTCAGATATATATACTCACATTCAGGTTTGTCTACTGTCGTGGGTCCCGTAGTGGATTGATGCTTTTGTGATGAGTAGGAACTTTCCTCTCAACACTTCACCTCCACCAGAGAAACTAGACTATTATCCGTGCTATGTTGATCTCAAAGTCCTGGATATCCAAGAAAACAGCCATATATGGCTCGTCATGTAAATACACAACAGCTTCACTTAGTATCCACAGGAGTAGGGGAAGGGATAGATAGATATCAAGATGAACCCAACGAGATATGAAGATACACAGTTAACCCCTCTGATTTCTCCTCTCCTGGTATTAATTATTAAAGAGCCCCACCAAATGTAATTTTATTTAACATTTTAGTTAAACACGTAAGACTGAATACACTTGGAATTTTACAAATGATGTAGTATAAAACTTGACATACAGTTTTATTAACTAACGATCATTTCAATGAAATAACCCAGTTTGTAGTGTTTACACAAACAGTGACTGGCTAATGGTATGATAGTGATGAGATTCTTCAGCTAGAAAACTGAGCACCTGAGATTAGAGTGGTGTGATGATGGTGATAAGTTTACGAACAATGTGTGGACGTAACTTTGTTATAAACCACTGACAGCCTTGAGGCACTTTTAAGCGTTTCCACCTCTTCCAACTTCTTCCCATCTTACCAACTGGTTCCACCTCCTTCTCTGCCTGTTCCAGCGTATTCTCCGCCTGTTCCCAGCTTATTCTCCGCCTGTTCCCAGCTTGCCGATCTCCCACAACGTAGATTCGTGCATGTGACCATCTATTTCTATCAGAGCAGACGTCATCACCCCGACGGGAGCTGGGAACGTTCCAGCAATTGCCAAACAAGACTCAACCAGCTAGTAGGTCTGAGTTTGTGGCTAGCTGCCAGCACTGTGAGGTAAATTTAAAATGCTGGCAGTGCACTAGCAAAATTAACTCCTCCCCTTTCTCATATTTAACCTGTCCTACCGGAGAAGATCCAAGCCACGCCCCAGAAGTACTTTGCGTATCAAATTAGTTATCTAGGTGTCTGTCAGTCAATTCTTGACGGCCACCACTCTGAGCAGACATTCTTAAGTGGTAAACATCTAGTCCCGGACAGTGTCACTGGCTGGTGTGAAAAGACGTTCAGTGAAGCCATTGTGTTTCCTACTTGACCAAGTTAACTACCCTTATCTTATCAGTTGAAAAGGCCTAATCTGGCTGATGACCTAACTATTTTATGACTCTCAGTGGTCTGCAGTTCAAGGAAGATAATCTTAGGGGGGATAATTAGTTTTATGACTGAGTTTCATGCCCCTAGGGGTCTCTGGTCAGGAGATAATTACATGACACTTCAGTTCTACTATCAAACCATACAGCCAAAATGTCTGAACTTTCCCAGGTAGATCAGAGGGCTATATTAGGTAATGTTGTGTAATATTCGGGCTAAGGACTAGTAACAATTAAATCCATGTGGTTTTAGTACTTGATTCGGGCTTAGGGCATAGAAAATATAATTCTCTGTCCGCTCACAGTCATGTATGTCTACTCACATTCAGGTGTGTCTACACACTCAGATATGTTTACCCACACTCAGGTATGTCTATTCACATTCAGGTATGTCCACCTATACCAAGGTATGTCTACCTATACTCAGTTATGTCTATCTAAGTGGTTGCAGGTGTTGGTGGGATTAAATATCTAAGGACCAGTCAGGTGAGAACCTTAGAACTTGAGCTGGATAATAATACGTTTGTGTAATACGTTTTTCAGGTCTGCGCTGACCATTGGCAATTACGATTACATCATCGACTTTATCTTTCACCACAATGGAGTTGTAGAGACCCGGTTGATGAGCACAGGTGAGAAATGATTGTTGAGTACAGGGGAAAATGATTGATCAGCTGAGGGGGGAAATGATTGTTCAGCAGAGGGGAATATTATTGATGAGTACAAGTGAGAATGATTGAGTACAGGGAAGAAATGATTGATGAGTACCGGGGAGAAATGATTGTTAGGTAGAGGTGAGATATGATTGATGAGTGCAGGTGGGAAATGATTATTGAGAAGAGGTGAGAGGCTCAAATAGATTAGATGTTTCTGTCTCTGCCTTGAAATAATACATGACAAGCTAGATGTAGCAAGAGCGCTTTTGGAGCAAGTGAACTATTTTAGGCACACATCGATCATTATGGTCGGGAGAGAGTGATACATGTAGGAGTGACCAGGGGATCTGGTCGACACTCTACGCTAGGAGGCACAAACAGATCAACACTCTTCCCTCAGAGCCACATGTAGATCAGTATGGTCTATAGAGAGAGGTACAGCTGGGAGTGACCAGTGGATCTGGTTCTGTTCTTTCCTGTGCAATCAGTTGGATGGGATCCGGTCCAGCAGCTTTGGCCCTCTCATCAATTTTCGTCTCATGTTTTTTTTTTCTGAGCATCCACTCCTTCTTAATTCTCTCATTTTCTATTTTGATGTTTGGTGATTCTTTGCTGGTCTTTTCTGAAGATGTGTCCAACGAACCGCCATCTTCTCTGTCTTATAAACTGTTGATGCTAGTGGTTGTCCAGACACTTCTCTTATTTTTTTTTTTTCATCAGAGACATATAAATATATGAAATACAACTGTTGACTAAAGCTAGAAATGACTGATGAGGTTAGATGAGTACGGGTTAGAGATTTGTACAGGTGAGAGGAGGCCTTCATCTTGATGTAAGCATAGGAACGATACATTTTCCACTAACGCACAGGTAAAGGTGGGAGGATCAACTTCATTGCACCGGGTTTAATGCCATATGGCTCAGTCTCTCGCTGCAGAACAGCTAGCTGCCTGCCGAATGCGTTGTAAAAACGATCTCGATAGCTCCGGCGACGATCCCTAGAGATCTCAGTAAAAACTGCACTTGTGAACTAAACGTCGCAGTCGTGAAACGAACCTAGAGCGTGAGACGAACGGCTCGACCCCACTCCCCCCTCCCCCTATTTAGACACATAATCTGTGTACGTTCATTTGTTGATTTCTTGTGCTCACCTTTCCCGCAGGATACATACAGACTCTGTTCTACGCAACAACAGAACGACCATACGGATTTAATATCCACCAGAACACGTTAGGGAACGTCCATCATCACCTGGCTCACTTCAAAGCTGACGTTGACGTGGGCGGCACATCAAACAGATATGAGACTTTAGACATCTCGGAAGAAAGGGTCGCCTTGACAGCTGTAAGCAAATGTCTATCTGTCACACGATATATTAAAGGGGCGTTTGTCTGTGTGATATTCTATTTAACGATTGAGCGCACACTTTCTGTCTGCAGGCGCATCTATCCACGCACTCACTAATCCACAAATACAACAAGTCAACCAGACAGCTGTCTGTATGTCTCTGTGTCTACCTCCATGTCTGTCTGTTTGGCAAGTCAACCTTACCGATGTCTGTATGTCTCTGTGTCTACCTCTATGTCTGTCTGTTTGGCAAGTCAACCATACCGCTGTCTGTATGTCTCCGTGTCTACCTCTATGTCTTTCTGTTTGGCAAGTCACCAAGACAGCTGTCTGTATGTCTCTTTGTCTGCCTCTATGTCTGTCTGCTTGGAAAGTCAACCAGACAGCTGTCTGTATGCCTCCATGTCTGTCTGTTTGGCAAGTCACCAAGACAGCTGTCTATATGTCTCTGTGTCTACCTCCATGTCTGTCTGTTTGGCAAGTACCTACTTAGCTGCCAGCATAGTTGAGATATCTAAATAAACATAAAATTTAATATTGTTCATTAGAGCTGAGGGATTTTTGCTTACACTAGATGCTTACCTTCTGTTACGGATATCTTGTGTGTGTACATGTATGTTACAGTGCGTTTACAAATTCATCCCGCTGTATTTTAGATAATAACTGGGTAGTTATCTATCCTTGGAACGTGTCTTTGTGTGTGTGGGTGTGTGTGTTTGTGTGTGTGTGTGTGTGTGTGTGTATGTGTGCATGGGATGCTTTTATCATCTCGGCGTTAATGTTTTATATATATATATATATATATATATATATATATATATATATATATATATATATATATATATATATATATAGTATTTAAACTATTAAATATCTAAACCTCTACAGACAGTATTTATACTATTAAACAGCTAAACCTCTAAAAAGAGTATTTAAACTGTTAAATATCTAAACCTCTACAGACAGTTTTTAAACTATTTAAAATCTAAACCTCTACAGCCAGTATTTAAACTATGAAATATCCAAACCTCTACAGACAGTATTTAAACTATTAAATATCTAAATCTCCACTGACAGTATTTAAACTGTGAAATATCTAAACCTCTGTAGACAGTATTTACCCTATGAAATATCTAAACCTCTACAGACAGTATTTAACCTATGAAATATCTAAACCTCTACAGACAGTATTTAACCTATGAAATATCCCAACCTCTAAAGACAGTACTTAAATTATGAAATATCTAAACCTCCACAGACAGTATTTAAACTATGAAATATCTAAACCTATACTGACAGTATTTAAACTATGAAATATCTAAACCTCCACTGACAGTATTTAAACTATGAAATATCTAAACCTATACTAACAGTATTTAAACTATGAAATATCTAAACCTCTACTGACAGTGTTTAAACTATGAAATATCTAAACCTCCACAGACAGTATTTAAACTATGAAATATCTAAACCTCTACAGACAGTATTTAAACTATGAAATATCTAAACCTCTACAGACAGTAATTAAACTATGAAATATCTAAACCTCTACTAACAGTATTTCAACTGGCCAGTTGCATCGTAACTAGCGTTTCCCCTGTTTACTTGTATAATTTTAGTTAAATAACAGAACTTATGTTGACAGTGTCGGCAAGAATTGCCCTAAACTTAACCCTCACCTCATAAGGTGGGCCTTTATAGCTTGTCACGTACTTGAAAAAGATTAAACACATTAACATTTTAGGGGCACTGTCAGCTAAACAGTTGTAGCCTTATTTAGGACTTACATATAACACAAGACAGACCTGTTTTTGTGAAAAGTAGATTAGTTATATTTGAACTTTGTGCTGTATAAACCTGAAAAGACAATCCAGCAAGGATCATCGTATTTTTTTTTACCCAGCAGCAATGTGCATTATAATTACTTGTTTAGCAAAGGTTTCAGGAAAAGGGGCGGGGGGGGGGGGGGGCGTCTTACATATCGTTGAAAATAAAGTACATATAAATATATAATGTCACCCACTTGTTTTTCTGTATAGCAGAGATATGAATTGTTGTTTTCTTAATACTGGATAAAATTGGTAAACGCGCTATAGCAAACGTCAGTGCCTGTGCCTTAGGTGATGCCAAGGTGCTTCGTAATTCTAAGGTGTCGGGTTTGATTCCATCTGCAGGCGATCTGGCAGCAGACCACCTTGCGACTTTTTCAACAGTGGTATCAAGAAATCATTCAGAAAGCAACGGCAAACTACTGAGTGTAAAATTTCCTTGTAGTGAAAAAACAAACAGCCCCAAATTATGCGTTGGTTCTTCAACGTCCTTTAAAGGGTAGGTTCTTATCGTCTTTAATGTGAACAGGCGTATGCTCATTCTCTGAACTTACTGCATGATGTTTTCCATCTCATCCAGTTCCCGGACCTACAATATTCTCAGACCAGGTTCAAGGCCAGCCTGAAGAAAACAGAGCTGCAGGCTGTGTATGACTTCAACTTTAACAAACCTAAGTATCACGTGGTACACAACAACGCAAAGAGAACAGACAGAAATGAAATCAAAGGATACAGGTAGGGAAAACTTGATGCTTGCCTCTATCGACAGGTAGGGAAAAACTTGTTGCTCTTCCCTATCGACAGGTAGGGAAAACTTGTTGCTTGTCCCTATCGACAGGAAGGGAAAACTTGTTGCCCTTTCCTATCGACAGGTAGGGAAAAACTTGTTGCTTGTCCCTATCGACAGGTAGGGAAAACTTGTTGCTTGTCCCTATCGACAGATAGGGAAAACTTGTTGCTTGTCCCTATCGACAGATAGGGAAAACTTGTTGCTTGTCCCTATCGACAGGTAGGGAAAACTTGTTGCTTGTCCCTATCGACAGGTAGGGAAAACTTGTTGCTTGTCCCTATCGACATAATATCCAAAAACTACAGAAACAAACGAAGCAAGGAGGCAAGCGGAGGAGTACACTAATAAGCTCACAGCAGGCTCCCTGGCTATCTACCCCAACGGGTCTCAAACCAGAACGGAGAGACTGGCGCAGGGATAGTGTGTCCAGACAAAAATATTGAAAAATGCTAGCGACTCCATGACAACACGGCGGTAAGCACAGGCAAGCTAGTAGGCATCCTGAAGGCCGTCGAAACAGCTGCAGATAACCTGCCAGCCAAATTCTGCGTTCTTACTGACTCTCTATCATCAGTGCTGGCCCTATAAGGATTGGGCACATGCAGCAGGTCCGACTTTAAGGAGCAAATGTTAGTAATGTCTCTGAAACTCGCCCAGGTGGGATGCCCAGTCCTTATCTCATCTTCGTTTAAAATAGGGAAACATGACCCCTGCAGGATAAGCGGCAGGCCACACGATGATGCTGTGATAAATATTTCCATTCCCTAATCTATATCAGTACAGTTTTATTATCAATTATTTCTTGACATCTGAATGCTATTTCATCGGCAGAGTTCAAATGAATTGCGGCTCAAAGAATCTCGTTGCTGAAGATTTTGGTAACGAGAAAACCGTGTCCTGGGCACGAAATCAGATGGTTGTCACCAGACAGAAGGATGACGAGATCTCCTCCAGTTCTATTTACGGCATGCACGACAGTCTGCAACCAACCGTCGACTTTACGACATTCTATAGCGACAACGAAACTATTGTTGACCAGGTATGTGTCTAACGAGATGTTTCTTTTTGTTGTTGACGTTTTCACTTGAGTACTTTACCTAAAAGACTTCGAGGTTTCTGATTTGGAAGCAAATGAATTGTTAGCAAGCCGATTTGAGTGAGTGCTTAAGTGACATTCAACCCCACCAGGACATCACACGATGAATAAACAGCCGGGGACACAAAGTGTCACCATTCGGATGAGAATCACCTAGGGACAGGTCTCAGAAACCCTGTTAAACCTTTAGGTTATATTCGGGCCGCGACCACAGCTGAAAAGATATGAAACCGAACGAAAAGTATATCAGCAAGCTTCACAATATAGCGAACACAACATGAACGATGCGGCAACGGAGCCTTTATCAGCACATACATTTAAAAAAAAAAAACCCACAAAAATACATAAAATCACTTAGTTTAGTATCTCGATGCAAGCCAGCTGGATGTCGTGTCGGTAGACTGACTAGAAACGTGGGACATAACCATAAATACCACCGAGAAATTCCAGGGGCCGTAACAGGAGGGTTTTACAGAAAACTGTGTTGGCAGTTCAACCCCCTAGGATATTAGAGAAAACTGTGTTGGTAGTTTTGTACGCCAGGTGTTAAAGTGCCCAAAGTGAAAGTAATTTTCAAGAGACTTGCGGACTCTGTCGCTGGAGAGGCTTTATTCGATAGATGTCACTTCCGTGTCGTGGACACATGACGCACAAATAATGGTATTCTTTAGTCCATAGATGCTCTGGATGATGAATATCAGCCAATTCCTTTGATCTTTTTGAACCATTGTAAATAAATGGATTGAGCTTATATATCTTACAGTAAAACCTGAATTTCCGGTTCTGTTTTTGTGTGTGTCAGACACGTGTCTAAAAGCTTTGACCGACGTTTTATTTCGGCTTTAGGTCACTAACAATGCGACTTTGCACGAGAAAATAGTGAAATTGCGTTGTTTTCCTTTGACCCCCTGTTAAGCCAGTCATTGTGTGCGTTACTTCCGGAAACTAATGAAAGTAAACCTTCCAAAAGTCTACCAAGACCGTTTTATGATAAAAATATATACCGCAATGAAAAAAAAAATGCACATGATATTTTTCTATAGTGGAGAAATAAACATTACTGAACGTCATGGATATTCTAAGGCTGCATACAAAAAATAATTGCCATTTAACAGGCAGTTTTCAAGAAAATGATCTGCATCTGTGTTTATGCATTGTTGAACCAACTCTAGTTGCTATGGTTGCACTCTGAGTTGACCAAATCAACAGATAGTCAACGTGTACTGTGTAGAATAAAATCCTCAACTATGTCCCTATTTTCAGGACCTTGTGTTCTGGATCACGGCCGGCTTACATCACATTCCCCACACGGAGGACTTCCCTGTGACCCCTACGGTTGGCAACCACCTGACCTTTTTATTGCTGCCTTTCAACTACTTCCCAGAATGCCCCTCCATGGGGTCACGTGATGCCATCTATGTTGAACATAAAGATCCTGATCATCACGAACTTGGGGTAAAAGTTGAAAGGTTTGTAACAAAGAGTTTATTTAAAGGTTACTTTTAAGACAGACTCCCCAGTGAAAGAAGGTTACTTTCCATTGATAACTTTGTTGCACTGGTCTACTTTGCTAAATGTTACGGGTGTGCAGCTCTGTTATTTGCTTCACGCGATGTCTTGTATATACGTTTTTATTCCGAGAAAGAGAACGCCTGTGACATAGGTTTCAATACTCTCTGAAAGGGTTTTATGTTAGATCCAGTTTGTCGATGTTTTCTGGAGTGTTGAAAGCGCTGGCATGCTGAAATATAGAACACTCGATATCAACGGCACTGGGTAACACTCCGGTCACATTGTGCCAAGGACACTTGGCAAAGGTCGACCAATCAGAAGTGAGCTAAACTGAAGGACGACCATTCAGGGGTTAGCTAGTGTGTAAAACTATGCAAATGGTGAGAGAGGAATATTACAATTACCTATTTAGATATTAATAAAAGAACTCGATAGTTGTGAAATAGGGGTTTGTAATTTCGATATACCCGGTTCGCATGAAGGTGAGCTATAGCTGCAGAAATGAACTCTAAAGGCTGTGAATGTTGAGCAAGAAAAAAAAAAAGAATTCTATTAGGAGCCGCCCTGATATAGCACCTAGACGCTCCCTATCTGCTCGATCGCCCGGGGTTAAATGGGTATCAAGTAAAGCCCTTGCAAGTAAAGGCGACTTTATGTTGAGCACATTACGCACTGAGTGCAGATAAATTTGTTTAGTATACAATAGTATAACATGCCGATCTTTAAGTTAGTAAGTGCAAACTACTGAACTTCTGTCTAGGAGAACTACACGCAGTAAACAGATTCAGGATCTGCTCTATGGGGCTCTGCAAAGAAAAGGCACCTTTGAAATTATACCCAACAAATTGTGTTTTTTTTAAATGGTACAAACATCTCTTCATTAAAGTGGAGCTTCCATGTGAAACAGAGAACATAAAACGAACAGTCATGATCATCATCATCAGGTGCCTTGCCGACTAGTGTGGGCGATCATGTCTCTCCACAATCTGCGATGTCCTGCAGCATGTATCAGTTCGTGTGCCGACACACCTCCATGCCATGCAACAAGACTGTCAGGAAAATTATCTCCTTGTCTTCCTCTATCCCCCCTTCCACAGATCTTTCCAGTGGTCACAATATGTTCTCTTTTCCCTCTTCTCATAACGAACAGTGGAAATGTTTATCCCAACTGACCCAAGCGGAAAAAACGCAGATGGATATATTAATTAGTGACTTTTATATTTTCATTGTTATTGAAAAAATTAATCTGTGGTCTCCTAGAAATGTTGCAGTAGAAAGCGAGCGTCGGAGCAGAGCACAAAGAGCATAGTCCGAGGAGGTTTACCATTTGCATAAGCAAGAATAATGCGGTTATTGGACCTTCTAAATGTTTAAATTTGGCTAATATAAAAGGAAACTATCAGAACAGAGTTCGCTAAGCCTACATTCTACAACTGCACCTTGTAAGAAACACGTGTAACGTCCCTGGTAGATGCAAGAGGAAAACAGATGGTTAAGCAAATATAGCATCACGTAACTTATGAAAAGACAAATATACTGAAGACGCCAACTACAGATGTAGCAGTAGAGACAAAAGTAACAGATGAATGGACTTATTTAGGTAGTACAATTTCTGGCCAGACATTTAAAGACAAATGTATTATGAGATCCCAGTGGTTGCTAGTGTTATTTATCATTGTTTGAGACAGTGTAACACAGGGGGTGTCCTGGTCCTGAAGCTTTAGGGGCTCTTGGCTAGTGCTGTCGCCGCGGACTGTGCAGGGTAGCATTCTATCTTTGCTACCAACAGAGCTGAGTTGAGTTGAGCCGAGTTCAAGAACTGACATCACTGTACTCGGTGCATTCCTATAACGAAGTGTTGGAATAAGAATATTACAAGTAGAAGACTGATTAAACGTCCGTCTTGCCTTTCATCTGAGCGTCAAGTGTCGGCCAGATCCCCTCGTCCCTCTTCACGGCATCAGTCTTACCATACTGTGATGATCCATTTGCTCCTTAGAATTTACCACAGACAAAAACAATGAGCCATCTCACGGAGGATTGGAACCCAGTGTGAGTCAGATGAGAGCCTCAGGTTGTCAAATGCTGAAATCAAACTTTCCAAACATAATTAAACAGCAAGTGTTGACTGATGTAAACAATTCTTCTACTTCGCGATCACCGACTTTAATCTCCGAGGGCAAGTTCTGGCTGTTCGTTCACTTCTGGACTTTTGTTTCATAACCTCAGAGTTTCATGCACATCTGTTTTACAAATCTGGTTTTTGTGTGCTTGCATGATGTTGTTTCCGTTCCTTGCCTATTAGGCAAATACATTCTTTCTTCAAAGGAGAACCCACATTAGTGGGCTCTTACGACATGCGTGCTATGGAGGCAGTAGCTCCATTCCTGTTTCCCCCACATGGGGGCGCTGACACTTACACGAGGATCTACAGATATCATGGCGCTATGTGGTACATGGTTTCTGATAAAATCTATCTGTTTTCTCATTACAGAAACGGCAACTCCAGGGAACAGTGCGTCATGCCCAGATCAACGTTGGAAGAAGACTTGGCCAAAGACCCGAATCAGATTCTGCAAAGCTGACCACCCTGTACTACTGCTGACCCCAGTCAAGCAACTTGTATACTACAATGTTGTATTAGCCAGTCGCAATAAAATAAATACCTTGTCACAAAAGTCTTCATTTGTACATCAGTCTTCCACAAACACACACACGTCTACACGCACCATAAAGAAAACACAGCATACACACGTCTACATGCACCATAAAGAAAACACAGCATACACACGTCTACACGCACCATAAAGAAAACACAGCATACACACGTCTACACGCACCATAAAGAAAACACAGCATACACGTCTACACGCACCATAAAGAAAACACAGCATACACACGTCTACACGCACCATAAAGAAAACACAGCATACACGTCTACACGCACCATAAAGAAAACACAGCATACACACGTCTACACGCACCATAAAGAAAACACAGCATACACGTCTACACGCACCATAAAGAAAATACAACATACACGTCTACACGCACCATAAAGAAAATACAACATACACGTCTACACGCACCATAAAGAAAACACACGCCTGGCATGTGATACATTGTTATATAACAGTGGTTGTCAAACTTTCTAGTGCCGTGACCCTTTAATACAGTTCCTCACGTTGTCATGACACCCAGCCATAACATTATTTTCGTTTCTCCTTCATAACTTCAATGAATATGTGTTTTCCGATGTTCTTAGGCGACACCTGTGATAGGGTCGTCCGACCCCCAAAAGGATCACCACCCACATGTTGAGAAGGCCATTCTATGAAATTGAGGTATAAATCAAGCAAACTACTGAAATCAGATCTGTTTAAAAAAAAAAAAAAAAAAAAAGCAGATATTGCAGCCTGGCAGAAAACCACAACCTAACTTGCTACACTTTTAGAGTAAAGGCAGAAGAAGAAAACAAAAAGCGAATACAGCAGACCAATCTCGCAAGCAAAATACGTTGTTCTATGATATCAATACTTTAAAAAATCCATATGTCTGTCTGTCTGTCTGTTTCTTTCTCATAAGAACTACTCCCAAACGGTAATATGTAGAGGGATGAAATTTTTAGAACTCATTCTAGCTACAAATGTCTATTTCAACTGTACTTTTTGCAACAAGGTTTCTACGCATTTTTGACAATTAACGTAACAGTCACTAAAATTATGCTTTCTCCTATGTGCTGACCTGCTCAGCCGTATTTTCTGAATGCACTTTTTTTGGACAATACCTGATTTGTGTCCCCTAGGCATTGCAGTGTAACAGATAACAAGTAGCCGAGCCAGTGCGCACTCGGTTGCTTGGTATGCTGCGATGTTATGAAGTCTCAGGCCGTCATTGACTCCTTCAATACATATTCCTCTAGGTCTCAATCTGCCTATTAGTTTTTCCATTTCCATGTTGAACACTCTCGCCGCGAGCATCTTTAAGGTAATTCTCACTATGTGAGAACCATTTCCGTCTTTCTTTTCTAATTAATTTACGTTATCGCAATCGAGGTTATGAATTACCTAGTTTCGTCCTTTTTAGGACGAAATTTTTTGTTTTTTGAAGCCCCACCCTGGCTTTTGCTAGGGGACGCAATATAGGCAGGCCATAAATATGCACAGTTGTATGAAAGCGGTTTCTGGGACCTCTCCACTGTGATCCTCATACACATGGTGGCACTTTGTGTCATCGGGTGTTTGTCGCTTGTGTGATGTCCTGGTGGGGTAGAAAGTCAGTCCGTCAGTCAGTTACGGCACACTGGGAATTTTCATGCCTGATCAGTTATCCGATAAAGCTGCAGCCACGGGTACCTCTGTTTGCTGTTCCAGCGAGGAGCTAGGTATAATAACTTATATCTCCTTCTCTGAGGCGGCTTAGGCATGCTTCACCGTACTTTACTCCCATGTCACCCAAACATGTGAATGCCAGAGACTCGTCATTATCCACCAACCTAGTTCCCACAGCGTTAATGATATCTGCTATCTCGAAAGAAAAAAAAATCCTAATTTATTTAACAAGGTGTATTGTTTCAAAGGGAGTCGCCGTGGCCGAACGGCTAGACGCTCGCCGTGGATCGGAAGGTCGTGGGTTCGCTTCCTGGCGGAGCCGGACTTTCTTCAAAAATGACCTTGGCAGTCCCGGGAAAGTGAAGGCGGCCGGCGTGATACTGACCACATCATCCATCTTGTGCCGATTGGCCTATAAAAATATAGGTCTAGCCCTATATGCCCTACGCCTCAAGGCGTGGAAAAGGTTCCTTCACTTTTTTAACTATTGTTTTAAAAGACATTTGACTGCTCAAGGCACGACATTAGTCTATTGTCGCTTGATATCCACCTATATTGCTGTGTGGTAGTGAATCATGGAAAGTGAACACACGTAAAGAACGGGCAGGCAACAGAAATGGATTCCTCAGACGAATGTTAAAAATCCCTTAGACTGCCGGAATAGCTGACGAGGATTGCTTGAAGGAAGCTAATGAAAACAGTTCAATGTATTTACACCTATACGCATATGACAAGGAGAGGGGAAAAAAGGTATATCAGCGAGCTTTACGATTTAAAAAACACATGAAAACATGAACATAGCGGCTATAGAGCCTTCGTCAGCACATACATAAATAAAACAAAACCACACGAATACACAAAATAAATCACCTAACTCACGTATTCAAATGTACTGCCAGTGCAATGAAAAGAGCACACTGAACCAGAAAATAAACACCCGAAGAATGCCAAGGACCATAACTCAAGAAGTTTAGATGCAAATATGTTCACAGTTCTGTCCTTTGGGTGTTAAAGTTCCCAAAGTGTAAATTAGGTAATTTTCAATAGACTAGAGGACTTTATTACTGCAGTGGCAAACTTTTTTTCGCACTCTTCGATATGAACGCTATTTGCAGCTTTGACGACGTCTAGACGATGCCAGCCTCCTGCAGCCCCTCCTGAATCATGTCCACAGTTTCAGTGACATATTGTAGTCGTGCCATTATTTGTTATCTGAAGCTTTTTCCTTGGGACCTGAATTTAGCTGGGCCATAATTGTGGCCATAAGGGCTAAATGAGGTTTCTGGGACTTCTCCACAAGTGATCCCCCACTTTCTACCATCGGGTGTTTATCCCTTGTGTGATGTCCTGTGGGGTACAACAGGCACGCAACCAGTTTCTATCCTTCGCTGTTGCATGCAGCTCACCCCATGTCCTCTCCGTCATTTAAATTCGCCCTTTAGCTCCCTTTCTGTGTGTGTGTACGTGTTTGCATGTGTGTGTGTGTGTGTGTTTGCATGTGTGTATGTGTTTGCATGTGTGTGTGTGTGTGTTTGCATGTGTGTGTGTGTGTTTGCATGTGTGTGTGTGTGTGTTTGCATGTGTGTGTGTTTGCATGTGTGTGTGTGTGTTTGCATGTGTGTGTGTGTGTTTGCATGTGTGTGTGTGTGTTTGCATGTGTGTGTGTGTGTGTTTGCATGTGTGTGTGTGTGTGTTTGCATGTGTGTGTGTGTGTTTGCATGTGTGTGTGTGTGTTTGCATGTGTGTGTGTGTTTGCATGTGTGTGTGTGTGTGTGTTTGCATGTGTGTGTGTGTGTGTTTGCATGTGTGTGTGTGTTTGCATGTGTGTGTGTGTGTTTGCATGTGTGTGTACGTGTTTGCATGTGTGTGTGTGTGTTTGCATGTGTGTGTGTGTGTTTTTGCATGTGTGTGTGTGTTTGCATGTGTGTGTGTGTGTTTGCATGTGTGTGTACGTGTTTGCATGTGTGTGTGTGTGTTTGCATGTGTGTGTACGTGTTTGCATGTGTGTGTGTGTGTTTGCATGTGTGTGTGTGTGTTTGCATGTGTGTGTACGTGTTTGCATGTGTGTGTGTGTGTGTTTGCATGTGTGTGTGTGTGTGTGTTTGCATGTGTGTGTACGTGTTTGCATGTGTGTGTGTGTGTTTGCATGTGTGTTCCAGTACAAAGACATTCTAGTTATATCTTTCTCAGGTTTTCTTTTAAATACTCCTATTAAAAATTCTAAAATCCTAGCAATCATTTTCAAAGACCTTCAATGTACGTACGTACGTGCGTAACTACATGTATGTATGTAATGTAAGTAATGTATGTAATGTATGTAATGTAAGTAATGTATGTAATGTATGTAATGTAATGTATATTATGTTATATATGTAATGTATGTAATGTAATGTATGTAATGTATGTAATGTAATGTATGTAATGTAATGTATGTAATGTAATGCATGTAATGTAATGTATGTAATGTAATGTATGTCATGTAATATATGTAATGTATCTATTGCAAGGTATGTAATGCAATGTATGCAATGTAATGTGATGACGAGATTAAATGTACATGGTGCTAAATCAATATCTGTATAGTCTAACCGATTCTTCATGGATGATAAGGTGAGTATTAGCACACGCCACCTTTATATCCTGAAATATTTTCTGGCCTAAATTATTAGGCTTGAGTCAAGAGGGTAGGTCAGTTCTCACAACCAGCTTCCACAAAGATTCCAATAAATGATCTCTGGGTGGATACGCAAGCATGTTAGCTATTGAGCTATCACAGCTGCCACTAGGCGAATTACACACACACACATACACACATTTGTATATATATATTTATATATATATATATATGAGATCCTATCTTCTTTCAGTGAGTAAATAAATGCAAGAATCAAGAATTGACCCCATGCACTCGTGACATTCTCACACATGTACCATCCCCTTCTTAAGTTGCCAACGAAGAGTTGGAGGAAGCCCAGGTGCCAGGTGTTACGGCGTGTCAGTGGTTGAACGCAGGAGGGGACCAAAAGGGCTTGGAGAGAGCTTGCTTGAGGAGCTGTGTTGTGTAGCGGACACTGGACTGAACAGACGCAGTATTACGACGGGTAAACGTATCTTAGTTTAGTAACGGCTAGATTTAATAGTATTTGTGGTCAGTATTTTTGAGATAGGCTGTGTTTCCATCTAATGTTTCGACGAGATAGTGTAGAGTTAATGTTCCTTGTACAGTAGACGTTCCATGCAGTATTTGTTAAGCA